AAGTAGTATTGTTGATTGAAGAACGTGAGAGCGAGATAAGACGTTTCGGTCCATTAAGTCATGTACGTCTTAACTCAACCTCGTCAGTATGAGGTTTCGTCTGGTTTTCTTTAAAATCACTGTTTTGATATTGGGAACACAATATTTTTCCAGGGGCGACATCCGGAACCCTGGCTTGTTTTTGGTGCCAGCAGTTCTCGACAATTCGGTAGTGCCGGTAAAAATGCTGCATTTCAAAAGCGTGTTAATTTCTTCGGTAAGCATTTTTTTTGTGCTACTCGAGCTGCTCGTACGGTAGTTGGTAGGCCTTCATTTTCCTCTGTGTTGGACTAGTCTTATTGAACTCAATTTCTCCTCAACCTTGAACTTGAGAGCAGCGATAATTGTCTCTGTACTATTCCCGTGAGGATTACACGCTTGTTTTTGTCGAATATAGTTCCGTGTAGGCGTTCGAACGATTTCTTTTATTGCACAGACAACGGACGGATTTTTTTAAGAACTTTGGATGTTATATTTTTTTAAAAATCTTTCTGCATTAATAAGTCATTGTTTAAATTCTTTTTTACTCTCAAATTAAAAAAAAGCTTTGAAATTTTCAGTCAATGGGCTTATTGAAGAACTGGCATCGTTTCCAATGCAAAAATCGCTACTTTGCATGCGTCGAATTCGAAAATTTATGGATGAGCAGTTGCTGGAATTGGATGAAAATGTGCAGAATTCGGAAGATGATGCCAGCATTTCCTGAGCGCGCTTGGTGCCGGTGTTTTGGAACTTTTTTTTGTCCGGACATGGACGGATCCAGGACCGAATCCTTGGGCGGGGAGCGACGGGGCACGAGGAAAAGAGTCCCCTTCCATCCTGGACTTATGCAAAAGCTAGGAATAGAGTTGTAACACTGCTGTTTGGAGTTACTTTAGGCTTTATTTTACTTTATTAGTTTTAGCTTTAGATCCAGGTTTCTGTAGCACTGGTGCCTCTGCCGTTGAATGACCCATCGTACACCCCTCTCTCCTCCCCTCTTGGAC